GAGTTGAGTGAGTGACAGCTCATACGTTTCCCGCCAGCAACTCAAACAATTTTCGATTTCCAGTGTAATTAAGCTAAGCAGGGCTTATCTTCTAACTTAAGTCACTACTGAAAGCAACTTTTAGTATGAAAACTCAATGCCTTGACATTGCGAACCTGTACATTTGCGTATCTTCGCAAGCAAGACCTATTGCTGGCATTATTATTTAATATTTTACATATTTACGTACACTTAAATTACCCGCAATTTAGAGTAATTCACTGTTAAATTAAATAAAATTACTTTACATTCAATGACAGTCTTTATACCAAATAAAATTGTTTATTTCACTGAGGCACAACACAATGCAGGCATGAGAGACGATCACACGCCTTTCATAAGACGTAGATTTGGTTCTCCTATACTGAACTCATTGAAATTTCTCAAAAGTTGGCAGCTCTGTTAGCATAAACTTATATCAAACATTTGAGAAATATATATAAATAAAAACAAATAAAACATGCGAAAACTTAGAAGAATTAGAAGAAAAAAATTAACTAAAAAAGACGCTTATTTTTAGATAAGATACGTACTACTCGGGCGGCACATGGAACTCATACTCTACTCTCTCCTACCAATTCTGATAAAATAGCCCATTTACTGCTGAAATAACCGAATTTTTCATAAGTCATAGAACGTCAGCAATTAATTTAATTGCTTTTTTATTTTAGAATTTTTAATTAATTAAATAATTTTCAATTTATTAATAACACAAACTGAAAGAAAGTAAAAAGTATTAGTTTTTTTCTTCGTATATTTATTCTACATTTATTGAATTTCTGTTATGAGTGCAGGCCAATGAAATATTCCACACTTTTCCCATAATTTGTGGTATAGTATATTTTAAAAATTCATACAGAAATAAACAATACCTCAGCGCAGGTGTTCGCAGACACACGATTATATATATTGGACAATTTATTATTAAATTTTCCCCATTAATTTTTTATTTATATTTAATAAAATGTTTGATATTCGATATGCCATTAAGTTGAAAGGATTCAATAGTGAACACATTTCAATTGCGGAAAAGCTGTGAGTAGCAATCATGCAAGATGAGAATCATATATGGTCTTTGCTTTAGAATAATCAACCCTATTATTATTATGGATAGGCTGTGCATACACTGCGACCTTAAAGATCTTTTGTGCAGCCTTTCGCCTAACTAGTCCAATTCTAAACTTTTGAAGAATTTGGTGATAACTGTACGCCGTATTTTAGCTAGGTGTTTAGGGCTCAAAACTCTACAGCCTAGATAGTTAAGTCTGCGGCTAGGCAGCCCATAGAATATGTTATGCTGTTCTGCTCTGCTGTTGCTTTTGACAAAGTTATCAGGAATCGTTGTCTGCTAGACCAATCTTTTTCAGATGGTGTCGCATTCTACAGTGGCCTGTTAACAGTTGCGTGTAGAATCTGATATCTATTCTTAAGTTTAGAACAGCTTTAGCCTTTATATGTTCAGGGATAATAAGCCTTTTTGACTACAGTGTGGCTTTTTGGGGCTCTCCAGAAGTCAGTTATGTTTTGTTTTTCGCGACCAATCTGTTTTTGAAGCTGTTGTTAACTCCGCAATAGGGTTCCGGGCATACGAAAAGTGCTTTTGCCCTTACATTGCCTTTGTACCTTTCATATCCCGGCATCCATAACAGAGTCACAGAATCCGTCATCCTCGTACGTTCTGAAAATCAACTTCAAGCGTTGTGAAAGATTCAGTCAACTTACTGATTTATTGGTGTAAAATTTTTCGGAGAGTTTTTAAGCGTCTCTTCGGTGGGCTAATTTTTTACTATTAAGACAGTTTTGTAGAGATTGAAACAAAGAGTTAACAGGCGGTTCAAAATTCTTTGTTCCGTGTCATCAAACATATGTGTGACCTGGCATTGTCATTATGGAATATGACTTTTTTTCTGTTAGCCAATACTGGTCACTTTTTCTTGTTTTTTTTTTTCAAGCGAAGCAGCTTATAATAGACAATTTCATTCCAGTCCCATTAAACACTCCATAAACCTTGTTTGTCAGTCACGAAAGACGTTTATGGAGAGTAACTTACCTGTGATCATGACTGCTTGCGTTGAATATTCTCGCAATTAATCAGTTTTTCAAGCTCCATAAAGTTTCGCTTCAAAAATGGCTCGATTGTGAAGCGTTTTATCAGCGTTTCACTAATGGTTATTCGGTCAATGAAATTTTTTTATTATAACTCATGTGGTACCCAAACATTGAGCGTTTTTAAGTAACCTGGACAATACCTACTTTATTAAAATTAGATATTAATTTTCAATAAAAAAAATGTTCGTTCAAAAATATATCAATAAAAATTGCAGATACTTTTTATATCATCCGATACAACACAAATTTATAATTGCAGTTTTAAAAAATTTCAGATGACATTATTTCAGTATTAATTACAAATCTTTTGCAGAAGATTGTTCAGAAATCAGTTTTTGTTCCAGAAATCAAAAACCCACAAAAGGAAAAGTTGAGTTTTTCAGAATCTTTTAAAATATAAATTATCTTAGCAAGACACACGACTATTGGAAACCCAAACTTCATAGCCTTAAATATCAGCAAATATATTACTCACATATTTAATTTTGTGTTACTGATAATTACTATATTGAAAATCTTGCAACAAATAATGTAAATAAAAATTAAATTATTCGTAGATTTATTTAATAGTTTTTTATCATAAAACATTACATGACACAGACTTCTATGTATCGTAAGTAAAAAATTATAAGTTCAGCTTAGTTATTGCGTCACCAATGAATCATTCTTCATAATTAACTATCAGCACACCTAAGCAATACTACCTCAAGTTAATTATTATTGTCATAATGTTATTAGAATTCTAAATACAAAATAATAATATTTTGTGAATGACTTATTAATATCCTTTCTGCTATGCTGACCTTTACTATTATCTCCAAAATTATAAAAAGTACTTGAGCCAATTTGTTTATTGATGAAACAATAAATATATTAATATGATTAAATTGCATGACGTGAGAAAAAGTGTCATGACATCGAACAACGTCATATATATCAAATCAACTACAGATGTAGAGTAGATATCAGAAGTAATAATATTTTGTCATCTAAAGAGATAAAAGTGCGATAACGTTTATCTAATTTGTACCTCAAGTTACATGTGTTTAACAGAGAAAGTGCAGATAAATTATCTAAACTTGACATAATAAACTTGATATATAATTTTTCCAGATGAAATTATGCTTAATGTCAGAGAGTAGTATATATTACTAATTTTTCAACAATTGCAACAGCGATTGGCATTGAGCACTCACCTGTCACACCTTCTACATTCCCAGAGAAGTGTGACTAATGAGCTACTTGTTAATTTTTACAAGTTATTAGATTCTTCCATGTATGAAGTGAATATATATTTTTCGTTGCACAATTATGTAATAAAATAAATATATATACATATATACATATATAACTACACACCCTATAGTAATCAATGTGTATCTGTATATATATTCGTTACGTATTAGCTTCCAAATCATTCATATGATTATAATAAACGTTTAGCAAGTTAATGTTTACATGTACAACATAGTTTTTACTTAGATTATATCAACGATAGTTCTATCGGGAACATAAACCATATAAAACCTACTTGACTGCTTTAAGTGCAGTTGTAAAGCACTTTAGATATATATCAATTGCTAAAACTACTAAATTTTTATGAATATTCTGTTATTATTTCTATTTGCACTTCAGAGTCATTCTTAAGTTCTTCTATTACCACGTAGCGAACTTTTTTTACGGCATGTATGCAACGGGCTTATTGACATTCTTCACTAGCATCCTAACAACCTGTAACACCAACTTTAAATAGAGTTACCTATTAGTGAAATATCATCTAATCGCAGCAAAGTGTATAAGATTTTCTTGGGGTGCAATATCTCAAACAATTAGAGGACTCTTCAAAACTCTGGTTTCCGAACTTTCTGTGATACTAGAACATACCAGTTTGAATATGCAGTACTCTTCAAATCGATTATATTCTGCTGTAACTGACTAAAGATTTTTATCTTATTTTTTAGTTTTTATAAGAAACACACAAAAACTTGATCTTAAAATAATTATAAACTGTTTCCTCAATAGATAGAGATTTATGTTTGACATATTGTTACTCGTATACCATTCCACATACCTATTATTAAATGGGGAGTACAAGGCAAGGCGATTTCGGTGGTATATTGTGATAAGAACATTTTATGTAAATACATACAAAACATAAAAGAGATTGTACCCAGCACTAGTAAGAGAACACAATAAAATATGCTAAATGGCAATAGAAGATTTTATCTCCATAAAGATAGTGAACTTCATGAAGACAGTCATTCAACTCAGAATATTAAATAACACAAATATATGTAAGAATTCTTATCTTCGTATTTTGCAAAAAAAAAAAAAATAGTATTTATCATAATTTCGGCTACTTAGAGTAAATCTTTTTGAATTATTTTTATATATCAAAATGTAAGCAGAAGTATAGATAATTTTTTTTTAAATTATTATTTAAGATAAATTTAATATTTTTTTAAAACTACTATCTTATAAATTTATCCTAAGATAATTTTCATAAATAAATTTTGATTAAAAAATGGTAAATGAAGCATGTTATATAAAAAATTGGCTGTTTCAATGGATGTCCATTAAAGTACATTAACAAATAACCACACAGGTACTAATAGGTTCAATCGACAAAACCAAAAAAATTTGTATACATTAATGACTTATATCTGCTACGCCAATCTATAAAATAATTTAAACTTACCGAATACAATCTCTCTATAAGGTCAGCTAGAATTAGTGGCAAATAAATATAGAGCGACTATTGCATCGGACCTATTCCTTCATACCATTTTGTAGTCCATTATGTATTTAAGCATAATAATGTATCATAAAGTAATGTAATGTTAGAAAAAATTTTACCAAATCTATTCATATGTATTAAAAAGCATATAAAATTTTGCATATAAAATGTTAACAAACTACAGCTGTCAAATTTCGATTTTCAAATCAGTTTTAATTCTCTATCGAGTCAAATGTGTAGACTTTAATAAATCGTTCTCAGTGTTGAATTCTATAGATTTGTTTAAGATATATCTATATCTAACATAGTGTCTAATATAAGAAATGTTTCTATAGAAGTTTATATAGAAGTATAGAAAAATATCGATTGATAATGTGACTCAACTCAACTAGGATTATATTAAGTTCACAAGGTATTCAACGATTCTGCGCGCTAAATTAATTTGGAAAAATATATTAAATGCAAGACCGTTTCATTGGAAACAATGTTTTAGAGTAGCTATAGTCTATATAGTTATAGCGCTACAGTATTAATACAGAAGGTCTATTAACGTAACTTATGGCCTATTAAGTTAAGTTAGATAACTTTGGCAGTCAGAGTGCATTACATCACAATGGATCACACGATCCTATTGGGCTTGAAATGTTAATATGATACCATTTTGAAGTCCTAAACAAGCGCATTCTAGTTTTCAATTTTCCAGTTTTTTAGTAGCACTGGACACTTATGTAAAAGAATGCAAGAATAATTTTTAAGAACTTCGCTCAGTTTCTGGCTAGAATGTGGCACCTTTAGAAAAGATGTTTTACTACTTTTTCTTCATTTTCACATCTACGAATTCTATATTATTCATAAAATGGAATTATTATACTAAAGTTAAGAGTATGCCTACAAAATAATCAATGAGTGGTTATACAAACTACGATCTTAGTCACTCTGGATAGGCTAAGAAAATTTCTTGATTTTTTCCTA